CTCAAGACTGATGCAGGGAGTGCGCCACCCTTGCGCGACGCTGGACAGGGCTGATCCACGGCAATTTTCCATCCATGTTGGGGCTCCCGATCCTGTCGCGCAGACGCGACGCAAGGCCCTGATCAATCCTCGATTTTTTTTATCGGGCCATCCGGGAGCGGTCGTGGGTCATCTTGAGAACCTGGGAACCTCTTGGGGTTCTGTTAGACGCCTGGTGTATTCTCCAAAGTCCTGTTGAGGCCATCTGGAGCCGGAGCATCTGCACATCTAGAAATGGCACAATAACAAGCACCCATTTGCTTTGGGACTGGTCCAGGCTGTCTGGGTGCCCCCTGGTGGCAACTTGGGGCCACACGGAGGTCCCTTTTAAAGCCTCTGGGGCCCTCTTAAGCCATCCCTTCGGGATTGATTGAGCAAAGCGCTAGCATTAGGTCGGGCATGTCCCCCTACAGGCGGCTTTTGGGCGAAAAATCCCACCAGCCCTCCGGGCGTAGGTGGTTTAGAGAGTTTCCTCTTCCACCCATCCTTCTTCCCCTTCGGGGAGGGGTTTACCCCTCCCCCTAACCCCCTCCTCTGGACCTGGACAGGGGGGTTCGCGAGGTGTCGGAGCGTCCAAAACGGCCTCGGCGAGGAAGCCAAAATCATTGGTTTACAACGGTTTTGGTCCCATTTTGGCCTGCTGAGGGGAGGACGCTAATTGGGCACCCCCCGTCCTGTGATCGATCTCACCCAAGATGGCCCAAAGATGGCCCCCAATGCTCCCAAGGGTGCCCCAAGAGGGCCTCAAGAGGTGGCCAGGAAGCCCCAAGAGGCCTCCAGGATGCCCCCAAGAGGCTCCCAAGAGACCCCCAAGAGGCCCCAAGAGACCCCCCAAAGGCACCCAAGATGCTCCAAGAGGCCTCGGCGAGAATGCCCAATCATTGATTTCACTCAGGTTTTAGCCACATGTTGGCCTCTTGGGGGGGGGCATTGATTAAGATGACTCCAAGAGCGCCTGGGAGAGCCCCAGATGACCTCCCAGATGGCTCAAGATATCCCAAGATGTCTCATAATGACTTCTTCTGTGTGTTGCCCACTTCCCTGATCGAGGCAACTCCTCTGGGCATCGTTCCTGGATGGGCTAGTGGGGATTCGCGAAGCGTTAACAATTAAAAATACCCAAAAAAAATCAACATGCTCAAAAATAGCAGAAAAATCGTCCCCAGACTATATTTTGACTATTTTTGAACAGTCCTCTCGAGAGACAGGCCCGACTTAACGCCAGCACACACAGAGGGCTGGGACTGGGGCAGAGGAGGGGAGCGCCAAGGCCACCAGCTCGCGAGCGTGTGGCGCAACCGACCGCAGGAAAGGGGGAAGAGGCCACCCACGACGCCAGGATCACCAGGCGCTGACCCCCAAGCCCCAGACGGAGCCAAACCAGTCCTCACGAGTCCTCCGCGCCCCGTGAGCGTTTTCTTGTTCGGCGCTTCAGCATGGGGCGGGAACGGGGGGGAAGGCGGGGGGTCTGGCTCCGGACTTCTGCTTGATGCGACTGCTTGCAACCGTGCGTCCCATGGGGGAAGCTCCACCTGCCTGAAACAGGCGCCAAAAAACAGCCCACATCCACTCCATGGGGGTGGAGGGAGAGGGGGGCGCGAGGGCCCGCGCCGGTCGGCAAAACGATGAAAAGAAAACGAGCACCACTGGGAACAGAAGTCCTCCGGTCGGGCAAGCCCCTCCGGGAGCCGTCTCATGTTCCCACGCGTGTGGGATGGGCGCACGCGTTCTCCACAATTCGGCTCAGCGTAGGAGCCCGCTTTTGTACGTCTTCTTCGCGATAACGCCCGTGACAGGCCCCACCCACCCCCCTCCCTCCCCATCGGTGGTTCAGAGATGGGGTCCTTCGGAATGGAGTCCTAAAGACGAGGTGCCTCAAACAATGTAAATCCACCCTTGGGACCCTTCCTATCCTTAGGACCCCATCCCTCAGGACCCCATCTTTGAACCACCGATCCCCCTTGGTCACGTGACGATTCGCGCCGGCGCAATCTGGGAATTGGCCATTCCTGAGCATGCCCAGACGGCGCCAGCGCTAATCGCGACGTGACCGGCCCCCTCCCCCCCCGCCGGGTCACGCCCATTATCGCCAGGGGATATGTCGACCCCTATCCTGGGCCCAAAACCCTAATTTATACGAGGGGAGGCGTCCATCCTCGATAGTGGTGCGTCCGAGTAGCCCCCTGGAGGTGTATCCCAGGGTTTCCCCCTTTCTCTCGGCGGCCAAACTGTTCGGGGGAGATAAACCACCTGCGAGGGGAGGAAGGAGAGCGAGGAGGATGAGCAAGAGCCGCCTCGTGGCACAGTCGGGGACGGAGATCGGCTACACGCAAGAGTGACCCTGGGCAAGAGTGCCCTTTGGTGCGCGGACTCAGGGGGCGCAAGGTGGCCAAATCCAGGCGCGCAAGCAGCCACTGTCGCATCGCGCTCGGCGATCGGGGGGGCCCAGTAAGCCCGCACCGAAGGTCACTCTGGCGAAGGGTCACTCTTACAGTCAAAAACCCTGATAAGGACGCGCGGCAAGGACGCAAGACCCTTGGAAGCCGAAGTTGGGATTTTTGGGGCGGCGGACGACGAAAACCTCAAGGACGCAAGAGCAAGGGTACCCTGAGCAAAGTCGCGCGTCCTTATTAGGGTTTTTGACTGTAGTCGAGGGCAGCGGGGACGACGAGTGAGAGCCGCCGCCTCGTGGCACAGCCGGCTGTTGTCCAGCTTGAGCTGCCGCAGCTGGTCGTGTATCCTCCCGCAGGCTGGCTCGCTCGGGGCGCCCTGCGCCCCTCCTCCTCACTCCTCCTCCTCCTCCTCCTCCTCCTCCTCCTCCTCCTCCTCCTCCTGCTCCTCCTCCTCCTCCTCCTCCTCCTCCTCCTCCTCCTCCTCCTCCTCCTCCTCCTGCTCATCCCTCCTCCTTCTCCTCCTCCTCCTCCTCCTCCTCGTCCTCCTCCTCCTCCTCCTCCTCCTCCTCCTC